AGTCCTATTTATATCCCATCACAGGTATGACAGAGTGTAACTGGTTCTTTGTTGTTGGACTTTTAAGGATGTTTTATTTTTCTGTAGCATATGAAGTACTTCAATAGTTATTTTTGTGCATAATGTTTTATTATGTACAAAACCTGTGAGTTTTACCTTCAGTGAAACTCCTAGAAGTAGAATTTTTAATTCAGATAGTATGAATGTTTTCATGACATTTTCTTTTCTTCCTTCATTTTATTATATTTTACTTTTATTTTTTACATAATTCTAAATTACACTCAGGAAATATTGGTGTACCAATTTATAGTATTGTTACTGATCATGGGTTCTGAGGCTCTCATGCAATGGAAATTGACACGAGGCAGAGAAAGTTTCCCAGACAAGGCTTTATTGGGCTTATGCTGGAGCAGGAGGGTGGCAGCACAGGGGCAAGAGTTCCCGGGCTGGCCCTCGGGACAGGTGGTTCCTGGTTTTTAGGGTGACATGAATAGTTATGAGGTGTGTCAGTGGCCTTACACATGCTAGTGGCAGGCACCATGAAACATCATGTCAGCACAGACATGTCATGGTCTGGGCATGGCAGATGAGCCCTTGGGGAGAGGATTTTAGTAACAGAATGAGGCAAGAGGGCAGGATCATCATTCTCCTGGTGCTGTGTGCATGTGGGCATCAGGGTTAACTCCCTTGGGTAAGATTTGGGGTGGAATGTGGCTTATCTTGTTTTCTTCCCTGGTGTGCATGGTCTCACAGAAGGCAGATGTGATGGCATGGGGTAGGTATGGAAAATACAGAAGTGCATATGGGCCAAGCCCTGTTCCTGGTGTCTCCTTATTACTTGCATGATATGAGAAGGATTGCTCGTCTTTGTTAGTATTGCCATGAATGGTTTTTGTAATTGCAAGGTTCATGGTTTGAAAAGGTGTCTTTAATGTACACCATTGCTTTCCGGGAAGGCTGTGTACCATTGTGATGAAGAGAGTGAATTGCAGAGCCATGAAGTCCTGGCTTCCAGACCTCACTTTGCCACTTGTAGCGACGGGTCCTCTGGGACAAGATACAAAGAGCTAAGGCTCGATTTCTTTGCTTATAAAACCTAGGTGTTCTCAGCAGCTATCTCATAGGGTAAGGGTCTTTCAATGCAGACCTAGCATCTAGTGTATGTCAAAAAAGTGATACTTTTTTTCTGAAGTTGAAACTTTTAAATATAATGGTTAGCTATTGTCTTTCTTTTTTTGGGGGTAAATCTGTTCATGTCCTTTGCACATGTTTCTACTGGGGTCTGTTTTTTTTTTTTTTTTTTTTTTTGTAGCACAGTTTACTCCATTATTTTTCAGTTTTAAGAGTATTCTATTGATTCTGGCTGTTTTTCAGGTAGACCATCAAATTGTTTGCTAACTACGCTCATTTTGTCTCCGTTCGGACTCTTTTCTCATTATGTTTCATGAGTTGTATTTGCCTTTGCTAGAACTATCAGAACAAAGTTACACAAAGATGGGGTGACAGATACTTTGATCTTGTTCCTGTTTGGGGAGTTAAAGGACTCATGTTTATCATCAGCCGTGCTGGTGGCGGCTGAAGTAGGCAATTTTTTTTTTCTTTTTTTTGAGGCAAAGTCTCTCTGTCGCTCAGGCTGGAGTGTAGTGGCACGATCTCGGCTCACTGCAACCTCCGTTTCCTGGGTTCAAGCAATTCTCCTACCTCAGGCTCCCGAGGAGCTGGACTTACAGGTGTCTGCCACTAAGTCCAGCTAACTTTTGCATTTTTAGTAAAGACAGAGTTTCACTACGTTGGCCAGGCTGGCCTCGAACTCCTGACCTCATTTCTATCTGCCTTGGCCTCTCAAAGTACTGGGATTACAGGCATGGGCCGCCGCTGCCAGCCAGATAGGTAATTCTTACCTTGTTAAGGAAGCATGGGAAGTATCACTTGCTATTTGACGTAAGGGAGTTTATCAGGAGTAGGGTATTCAGTTATTTAATGATTAACATTGTTTCTGCTAAGCAAACTAAATCTCCAGGGCATCCTTGATTTATTGTTTCTTTTTGGCTCAGCAATTTTTTTGTAAGGCATAGATAGAATTTTACCTTTCACGTGTCAGCAGTGTTTTCAGCTAAGAACTGGAATATCATTACTGGCCTCTTTGTGGGCTTTGAAAATCGAGCTACATTTTTGCTCTTCTTTCTGCATTTGGTATTAAGAATGATTGAATGTTAGAGATGGAACGGAACCCAGATTATCCGGACCATGCTTTTCCTCACATGAGAAGGAACTGATAGCAGAAGTCAAATGATTTGCCCAGGACACCAGAGCCAGGACTGGAAACCCTGTTTCGCTCCCGACTCACACCATCTCCTCTGAATACCCCGGTTTGGTTTCTCCAGTTCACTGTTTCAAATTAAACCCCCTGACACAGTGAAACCCATGTACACTGACTTCTCTTCTGCCCCAGATGGTGTACCCTGGGCTGGCCAGACAGGCCCCTCCCCAGTGGGTGTGTCTTCAGACAAGGGTGGCTTTGCCTTGTTGAAGTTATTGATATAAAGGTCAGTGCCTGAAACAGATTCTCAGGGATATTGCCAGAGACAGAGTGTTTGATTATTGGCCTTTCTTAGGTTGGCATTTCCGTTTGAATTAAAAGTCTTCAGGCTGGCGTGGTGGTGCCTGGCTGTAATCTCAGCTCTTTGGGAGGCTGAAGGAGGAAGATCACTTGAGGCCAGGAGTTCGAGAGCAGCCTGGGCAAGATGGCAAGAACCTTGTCTCTGTGGAAAAATAAATAAATAAAAAAGTTTAAGAGTCCTTCAGCATTTGAGGGGAAAATGTGTATTGATGGTAGAATAGTCTTGGACGGGGTTGGGGAAGCATGTGGGACTTTTCCCTGGCCAGCTGACCTTATACTTACCTCTGTTTTTTTCTTTTTTTGAGACGGAGTTTCACTGTTGTTACCCAGGCTGGAGTGCAGTGGTGAGATGTCGGCTCACTGCTTCTCTGCCTCCTGGTTTCAAGTGATTCTGCTGCCTCAGCCTCTTGAGTAGCTGGGACTATAGGCACGTGCCACCACACCTGACTCATTTTTGTATTTTTAGTGGAGACGGGGTTTCACCATGTTGGCCAGGCTGGTCTTGAACTCCTGACCTCAGATGATCTGCCCACCTCGGCCTCCCAAAGTGCTGGGATTACAGGCGTGAACCACTGTGCCCAGCCTATTTCTGTCTTTTTTTATTATTATTTTTGGTTCATGGAGGAGCCGTCTCCACATGGGCTGAGGCTTCTTGGGGACAAAGTCAGAAGTCATGTCCCCACACCAAGGAAGACCCCATGTGTCAGAGTGTCCGCTGGCTTTGAGTCCTGACACGCAGGCCTCACAGGCTGTGCTTCTTGCTCTGGGGCACCTCCTCTTTTCTTATTCTTAACCTAGGAGTTTCCCTGTTTTACCAATTGTTTCTCAAGTTGATAAGAGGGCAGCTCTTGTGATCTAGAAGCCAAAGAACCAAAAATAGGCCCAATTTTGCTTCAGTTCCGTGTAATGGCTACTTTTGTTTCTACTGATGTTCCCAAGGCTCCGCAGCATCCTGGAGTTATTTGTCATCAAAGACTCCCTTATATCCAGAAGAATTTTGGTAATATGCACATTCTGTTGTCCCTTAATTAGAAATGAGTAATCTTAAAATATGTTCGGAAAGGCTTGGCAAACTGGGAGTACCCAGTGCCCCAAGTGTTCTCCATAATGAATAAAGAAGAATTTGGGCCGGGCGCGGTGGCTCGAGCCTGTTATCCCAGCACTTTGGGAGGCCGAGGCAGTTGGATGATGAGGTCAAGAGATTGAGACCATCCTGGCCAACATGGTGAAACCCCATCTCTACTAAAAATACAAAAAAATTAGCTGGGCATGGTGGCACATGCCTGTAATCCCAGCTACCTGGGAGGCTGAAGCAGGAGAATTGCTTGAACCCAGGAGGCGGAGGTTGCAGTGAGCCGAGATTGTGTCATTGCACTCCAACCTGGCGCCTGGCAACAAAGTGAGACTCTGTCTCAAAAAAAAAAAAAAAAAAAAAAATTTGAAAACAAAATGTTTAAACAAGGACAGCAAACCAGGTGTATTAGTTATTGTCTTGGTTTCCTGTGGCTGCTGTAACAGATGCCTATGGATTTGTGGCTAAACAGCACGTGTTTATTGTCTTATAGTTCTGAGGTTGGAGGTTGAAAATGGGTTCCATGGGGCCAGACTCCTCCGGAGGCTCCTCTTTGCTGTTCCAGCTACTGCAGCTGCAGTCCTTGCGTTCCCTGGCTTCATCGTCAAAGTCAGTGGAGGGGCATTTTGCTTGATCTTTGCATTGCTTTTTCCCATGAGATCTCCACGGGCCTTCCTCTTAGAAGGATACCTGTGATTACATGTAGAGGCAACTTGAACAATCCAGGATAATCTTTCATCTTAAGAGCCTGAATTGAATCACACTGCACTGTCCCTTTTGCCATGTAAGGGAGCATTCACAGGTCCCAGGGATTAGGACCCGGGTATCTTTGGGGCACTCATTCAGCCAACCCCGAATGTAAAGGCATGCACGGTAGAGAACGGGTTAATTCAACGTCTCTTCACAGGGCCTTCAGTAGGCACCTCCTAACCTCTCCCATCTGCTCCAGGAATTATCTGCTCCTGCTTCTCCCCTTCCTTGTTCTGCGGGTTCCCACCCTCTCCTCAAGTGAGTCACTGGGACTGGCTTAGAATGCTGGCATTCTCCGACTAGGCCAAATTCACTGGTAAACATTTGTGAAGTGTGTCAGAGCAGGCAGACCCTGAATCCCCGCATCCCTGCATCCCCTCCCCGCAGCCTGCCTGCCAGCGGGGCCCTGACCTGCCCCTGTCCTCTCGCCTGATTCTGCAGATTCTTCTTCTTGAGCAGTGGACTAGACAGGGCATCGGCCTGCGTTTCCAGGGCAGCTGCTTCTTAGCTTCACTTCTGTGAACTTCACCTTCCCTGTAGTGCAGTGGGGTGTTGATGGTCCGTCTCTCTAAGGGCTTGGTGCGCTTTAACGTGATTCTGTGATTCCAGCTGGCCTGAAGACACCCCAGTTCCCCTGCCCCGACTATCCAACTGTATTCCTGCTCTGGACCCCGCTGGGGCTGCCATACACCCTGCATGCCAGGACTGGAGACATGTGCAGCCTGACCCTACCCCAGAGCCTGTCTCTAAAGGTGGAGATGGGCAGACACCCGCAGCCCGGGAGGCAAGGTGGTGTCCTGAGTGCTCTGTGCGTTCAGGAGCAGGAAGGCCTAGCTTGTGGCAGCAGGAGATCCCCAAGCGTGATCCAAGATTGGGGTTTTGCCACCTGCAGGGATTCCATAGAAGGAGATCCCAGGGTCAAAAGGCATTTGAAAGGCTTTCCCACATCTTTGTATGTGACTTGATGTATCATCTTTTATTTTAAGGCTCTCCCTACCGTGAAATCGGTTCTCTCTCATTATCAAAACATTTGGCCATCTTTTCTTGTGTAACTGTCAATGAATTTATCATCTTGAATACTTTTCAAATTAAAACACAGTACATTTAAGCCCACAAAACACACCAAAGAATACACACATAGAAGCAAAAGCCAACACCCCTTCTGTAACTCCGCCCTAAGGAAGTGACTCTAGGAAAGGGTGCCTCCTCCCACACTTTCTCCTCTGGAGGGCTCGCTTGCAGGAAGGAATCCTCACAAAGCAGGACTGCGTTACAGGTACTCTTTCGGTTTCCATACTTAACATTAGAAACACACAAAATAATTAGGAGAGTCCCAAAAAGACACATGCAGAGTTCTGTGTGTGTCCCTGCTTGCTCACTGAGCCACAGTGTCAGTGGTAAGGAGTGAAGTGCGGTTGTGTGGAAGCTGTGCTTACATGATACTGATTTTAAATCTTGTTCCAGGTCTGCCGTTATGGATCGTCTCGCAGAAGCAAATGGCACCTTTGCCTTAAACCTTTTGAAAATGCTGGGTGAAGGCAACTCGAAGAATGTGTTTTTCTCACCCATGAGCATGGCCTCTGCCCTGGCCATGGTCTACATGGGAGCACAGGGAAACACCGCTGCACAGATGGCCCAGGTATGGCTTCAGGACAGCCGCAGACGCTGTGAACTGCCAAGTGAGCTGGTCCTGCGAATTCCAGATCCCACAGGGATTGCTCTAGATGGAAAACTGTGCAGATCGCAGGGTGTGGGTGGAGAGCTGACAGGGAAAGGGACGCCACCCATGCCGGAGCACCCTGACCCGTTAGGCTGGAGAGGTGGCGCTGGATTCAGAGGAATGAATGATTTCATCATCACGTGGCTTAGCCTGTTCATGAGTTTGTAGATGGTTGTAAAGTCACAAGGTTCAGGTTGAGTCCTGTGATGATCTTTGGGTACTGTCACCTACCTTTTGATTGTCGGGAGTCTTCATTCTCATTTAGATGTAAAACCTTCTTAGAATGGCATCTGTCAGCTGAACATGTTTTCAGTAGTGTCCCAGTTCTCTGTTGCTGCGTAACTGGCACTCCCAGCTTAGCAGCTTTCCTGGTTGTTGAATCTGGGTGGATGGAGGGGTGCTTCTGCTCCACTTGGTGCTGGCTGGGTCCCTTGTGGGGCTGCTTCAGCAGGGGCTCAGCAGGGTGCTGGGGCATCTTCCCTGTGGCCTTCTCCACTGGGGCCGTCTATAGGCCTCCTTCGAGGGGTGCCTGGGCTCCCAAAGGTCAGGCTGCTGGGTTCTGAGAGGAAGTGCTCCCAGAAGACAGGCCTGAAGCAAGTGCCTATCAAGCCTCCACGTGTGTCCTGCCTGCCAAGGCTCCACTGCTAATGGCAGGCACACCTCCACAGCTGAAAGGGGCTGGGCAAGGGTGTGCACACTGGAGACGTGGCTGGGTGGGGCCACCCATGGATGCTGTGGTCTGCCCTCTGGACTTCATGGTTCCCAGGAAGTCCGAGAGCCAGGTGTGGGCAGGGTTGGGTTCTCCTGCAGCCTCTCTCCTTGGCTTGTAGACACTGTTTTCTCCCTGTGTCCCCACATGGTCATCATCTGTGTGTATCTGTGTCCCCATCTCTTATTTTTATTTTTTGAGATGGAGTCTCACTCTGTCACCTAGGGTGGAGTATAATGGCACAATCTCAGTTCACCGCAACCTCCGCCTTCCAGGTTCAAGCAACTCTCTGACTCAGCCTACCGAGTAGCTGGGACTACAGGCGCTCGCTACCACACCCAGCTAATTTTTGTATTCTTAGTAGAGACAGGGTTTCACCATGTTGTTCAGGCTGGTCTTGAACTCCTGACCTTATGATCTGCCCACCGCGACCTCCCAGAGTGCTGGGATTATAGGCATGAGTCACTACACCTGGCCTCATCTCCTCCGTTTATTTATTTACTTATTTATTTTTATTTATTTTATTTTATTTTTTCTTTGAGACAGAGTCTTGCTCTGTTGCCAGGCTGGAGTGCAGTGGTGTAATCTTGGCTCACTGCAACCTCCGCCTCCTGGGTTCAAGCTATTCTTCCACCTCAGCCTCCCGAGTAGCTGGGACCACAGGTACGTGCCACCATGCCTGGCTAATTTTTGTATTTTTAGTAGAGACGGGGTTTCACCATGTTGGCCAGGATGGTCTCGATCTCTTGATCTTGTGATCCACCTGCCTCAGCCTCCCAAAGTGCTGGGATTACAGGCATGAGCCACCACGCCCGGTCCTCCTCTTTTTATAAGGACACAAGTCGTAACGGATTAAAGCCCAACCTAATGGCCTCATGTTACCTTAATCACCCCTGTACAGGCCCTCTCTCCAAATACAGTTCCATTCTGAGACACTGGAGTTGGGACTTCAGTGTGTAAATTTTGGGGGACACATCCAGCCCAGCAGAGGAGGCGTGGGAGGCCCGTGGGCATCACTGAACAGTGGCAATTCCCAAGCCCAGCCAGGTGCATGTTGTCCACCCCTCAGCCCTGGGTGAAGGGCGTTCCTTGATGAGCCTCCACTGCAGATTTCCAGAATTGTCCCTTGTCCGTGGCTGCCCTGGCCGTGCTCTGCCTCTGTGTCCCGGTGTCACTCTCAGCAGCTCCTTTCCTGTTCTGTAAGAAATGGCCTGTGCTTGCTGTGCTCCCAGCCTACCTCCCACCTGTAGAACGTGGGTGCCCAGAGGCCTCCCTGCACTTTGAGCTGTCTCTCCCTTTTAGTTCAGGCTGTTACAAGTGCCTGAAAATCACTGTGGGATTTCTATCAACTTAAAATCTGCTTCCCTGGACAAAAGCCACCCCCCTCACTGTCCTCCCCCACCACCTGAGTGCTCTGTGTTGGGTTGGGAGTCAGGGTGCCGTGGGAGAGCCTGCCAGAGAGTAAGGTGCTCCTGTATCTTCTAAGGTTTAACAAGTGGATTTTGACCAGTGTCTGGGATTTGATCTTTGCTCAGAGGCCATTTCTTTTAGAATCTTTTGCTAGCTGGAGAGGCTGGAAGAAGAAACATTTTTATTCTCCACCCAGCACATACTGAGTTGGAAATCCTTCCTTTAAATTCTGCTTGAAGATGGAGCAGTTCCTTCTTCCTGTGTGATATCCTAGGCAGCAAAAGGAAGCCGTGTTCCCCTTGGAGCCCTTAGCCAGATGCAGGAGTTCACGGGGAGAGACACCATCCTCCCTGTCACTGCAGGGACTTTCTCTCCATTTCTTCAGCTTCTATACACACAGCCACCTTTCTCCAGCCCCCAGGAGTCATTTTATCCTGTCCATCCAGTCTCTGCCAGCTCCCTAAGGCCAAGGCCAGGGTCACATGTGTTAGGTTTTGGTCATGGCAGATCTCCACTTCCGGATGGCTACGCATGTCATCTATTGCCACAAAACAAACCAACCCAAACTTAGTGGCTGGAAATCACAGTGATCGATTATTCCTCAGATTCTGTGGCCTGACCAGGCAGGCCTGCTCCCAGGAAGCAGTGCAGGGTCACTCATGCAGCTGTTTCAGTGGACAGTTGGCCTGGAAAGTTCCAGAAGGCCTCTCTCACACCTGAGGCCTTGATTCTTCAAGCAACTCTCCCCGCAGGTGGTGGCACTTCCTTCAGGGCTTTCCATGTGGCCTTCAGCAGGATAGCTTGGACTTCCTTTCATCATGGTGGCCAGGGTACCAGAGAGTGAACGTGGCAGCTGTGGCCTTTTAAAAAGGACCTAGTCCTGGAGCAGCATGACTTCTACTGAATTCTACCTACTCTATCATTAGTTAGAGCCAGTGACAGGGCCAGCCCAGACCCACAGGCAGGAGGGACCCTGCCCTTCTGACATCAGGAGCCGCCCGAATTTACATAGACAGGAGATCTGGTTCACACCCTTGTTTGCCACCAAACTCCAAGTACTGAGCATCAGAAGTCTGGGTTTGTGGAGGGCACTGAAGCTCATGCCAACACTGACAGGGTACAGGGAGGGGCTTTCAAGACCCTTCTGGCCTTTAATCGGATGGATCTTTTAAGCAATAGTCAGAGTCTGCACGTTTGTTAGGCTGTTTGGGGTTGCTCCATTTCCTGAAGTCAGAGCATACAGATGTGATGTGTTTTCATTCTGGTTTTGATTTCAGGTACTTTCTTTAAATAAAAGTGGTGGTGGCGGAGACGTCCACCAGGGCTTCCAGTCTCTTCTCACCGAAGTGAATAAGCCTGGCACGCAGTACTTGCTTAGGACGGCCAACAGGCTCTTTGGGGAAAAGTCCTGTGACTTCCTCTCAGTAAGTCATACTTGTTACTCACTAAAGAAATGAAGGTGGCCAGGTGGTGGGTGCTGTGGTCCAGCAGGAAGCCTGTGGCTCTGAATGCTATTATGCCATATGTAGGCTTTTGTAATTTGTTTCTTTTCACCTGCCGATATGTTGGATCTACTTTATCTTTTTCAACTGTCTTATCAACATCTTGTCAGGCAGCTCCTTGATGCGTGACTGCTCCCTTAAAGAACCCAGCAGTTGGTGAAGTTTTTTTGATATTCAGAGCCTGACTCAACTTAGTTTTTCTTTGTCTTTTTGAGATAGAGTCTCACTCTGTCACCTAGGCTGGAGTGCAGTGGTGTGATCTCGGCTCACTGCAACCCCTGCCTCCAGGGTTCAAGTGATTCTCCTGCCTCAGCCTCCCGAGTAGCTGGGATTACAGGTGTACGCCACTACACCGGGCTAATTTTTGTATTTTCGGTAGAGACAGGATTTCACCATGTTGGCCAGGCTGGTCTCGAACTCCTGACCGCATGTGATCACCCATCTTGGCTTCCGAAAGCGCTGGGATAACAGGTGTGAGCCACAGAGCCTGACCTCGACTTAGTTTTTAAGCTAGGATTAAATATAGCTCAAGCTAGGAAGTTGGATTTTAGGTTAAGTCCTCATATTTATTTGTAAATTACATATGTCAATTATAGATTTTCTGATTTGGTTCAATGAAGAACTAGGCCGTTGGTGTTCACCATTTTTGTAGTTATGGCCCTCTGTCTATCCTAGTCTTTTAGAGATTCCTGCCAAAAATTCTACCAAGCGGAGATGGAGGAGCTTGACTTTATCAGCGCCGTAGAGAAGTCCAGAAAACATATAAACACCTGGGTAGCTGAAAAGACAGAAGGTGAAAAAGTATTGTTATTCTGCTTGTAATAGCATCTTAATCCATTTTACTGTCAGTTCCTTCATGAAACTGTCAGTTGTAAACAGGAATGACGTTTTTTTCTCTAAATAACTGCAAACTTTAAAAATCTGCTTCTGAAACAGTTGCCATTAATTGACGTTTTGGAAGTGCTCACTCGGTGTGTGCTGGTCTCTGCGGCTTCTCCCTGCGCTCTTCAGTGTACCTGTGATTGATGTTTTTCAGTGTTTGGTACATCTCTTCTGGACCAGTCTGCATTTTCATTTTGAGGAGAGGGTTAATGTGAATATAGTCTTTCCTTTCAAAAATAACATAAAAAATCCATAGCATGGATCTCAAGCCGTCTCCCTCTTCAGTAGTTCATGGTCTGCGGTTTTCATGCATTGCTGTGGGACACTATATCATGCCCTGGTCTGCCTGTGGTTCTTAATTTTAACTTTTTTTTTGTTAGAGACAGGGTGTCCTTCTATCACCCAAGCTGGAGTGCAGTGGCAATCACAGCTCACTGCACCCTGAATTCTTTGGCTCAAGTGGTTCTCCTGATTCAGCCTCCCAAGTAGCTGGGACTGCAGGTAACATCACCATGTCCAGGTAATTTTATTTTATTTTTTGAGATGGAATCTTGCTCTGTTGCCAAGGCTGGAGTGCAATGGAGCAATTTCAGCTCACTGCAACCTCCGCCACCTGGGTTCAAGTGATTCTCCTGCCTTAGCCTCATGAGTAGCTGGTGTTACAGGCATGTGTCATCACGTATGGATAATTTTTGTCATTTTCATAGAGATGGGGTTTCACCATGTTGGCCAGGCTGGTCTTGAACTCCTGACCTTGTGATCCACACACCTTGGCCTCCTAAAGTGCTGGGATTACAGGTGTGAGCCACTGCTCCTGGCCAATTTTTTTTTTCTTTTCCTTAGAGACAGGGTCTCACTGTGTTGCCCAGGCTGGTCTCCAACTCCTGGCCTCAAGTGATCCTCACACCTCAGCCTCCCAAAGTGCTGGGATTATAGGTGTGAGCCACTGTGACTGGCCTAAACTGTACTTTAAGCTTGTAAAGAACATCTCTTGGCTGTCCATCTTTTTGACAATCCTTTAAATTCTGTCTTTAAGTCATAGGCCACCACCACTCCTTCCTATCTCCTCTGTTATGAACTTATCCTGCATAATTAACATGTAGTTGTTCACTTGTGTGTTTTATTCAAATAATGTTGTTTTTCTCACCAGAAGTTTGTGCTGCTTTGCTTAAAGGACACGTATCCCTTTCTACTGGGGGGACAGTGGAAGTCTCTATCTGTGCCCTTGACTGATAAAGCAGAAGGCCCCACCAATTCCTGATGTATCAGGGATCAGCAGCCGCCCATGTCTAACGCCGTCTTTAATTCTTCCTCTCAGGTAAAATTGCCGAGTTGCTGTCCCCGGGCACAGTGGATTCACTGACAAAGCTGGTTCTGGTGAATGCCATCTACTTCAAAGGAAACTGGGATAAACAATTCCGCAAGGAGAACACCAAGGAGAGACCGTTTAAAGTCAGCAAGGCGAGTAAGCCGTGGCAGAGGCGCTTCTCAGAGCAGCGCCCCTGTTCACACAGCGCCCGCAGCCGTGGGCGTTTCTGACCCTGCCCCTCCTGCTTCCTGTCAGTCGGGTGGCCCCGTGCCCCTGGGCTCCGAGCATCCTCTCTGCCACCTACAGGGCAAGTTTGAAGGTGCAGCCCTCAGGCTCGATCAAGGTCTTCAAGTTCAGACTCGAGATATGGTGTGCCATCATCTAGAGGACATTTCCTCCGTTTCTCTAGCTTCATTCCCATCAGGACCTGCACACTCCTTTACAGCGGCGGAAACCCCGGGCCATGCCTCCTCCGCGCCGCCACCGCGCCCCCTGCTGGCTTCGTGCCACACAGCAGGGTCGGAACATCTCACTTTGCTGCTGAATTGAGGCTGAGCAGGGAGAGCTGTCTGAGGAGGGCCAGAGTTGTAGCTGGTGCTTAGGAAATGCTGAACTAATGAGTGGTAGTACTCTCTTGACAGTAAGGATAAGTACATATTTTTTTTTTTAAACGAGCAAACCAAACATGTAAAGAGACACTAAGATTAACCACATCCAGCTTGGAAGATGTCATCTGCTGACAGACCTTTATCTATCTTCCTCCCACTGAATCCATTTTATTCTCTCTTGTTTTGTTTGTCTTTGACTATAGAGATTTTTGAACATAGGCAAAGTACACAGAATAGATTAATTCCAGCGTATTCTTGATCATTGACCATAAGTTAGATCTTCCAGGCTAACTTGAACCTGAACCTTCAGTGTCTCAGGAAATTTATTTTCATTGTCTATTTCTCCTCACAATTCAAAAAGAATTATTTTCTTTCAAGCTTTATTCTGAAATGAACTGTCCTGTTATCCCCTGGCAAATAATTTTTCTCTTTAAAATTTAATCATGAATAAGATATACAAGACCTTTGTTTGAGTACAGGTAACAGAAATCCCGGTTCACCAGGGTTTAACTCATAGGGCTCATCTCCCCTGCCAGGAGGTCTGAAGGCAGGTGAGACCTGGGCTGGCCTGGTACTGCCAGCCCTGCCTTCCTCAGCACATGGCCTTCTTCCTCCTGGTCACAGGATGGATCAGCTAGCCACAGCAGTCCAGGCACCAGAAAGGGGGAGGAACAAGGGGAGGGGAGGGGAGCCTAAACCTTCCGCTGGGTGGTTCTGCCTTTCAGAAAGGGAAGGCTTCCTTCTGTATGGCGTAGGCCAGAACTCTATGTCTTGTGGGTTTGCGGAGATGAGGAATCCTCTCATGCTCTGCTCTGCAGTGCAGAAGAACAGAGGAAGGGGCTGCAGTATTGAGTGCACCAGCCTGGGGAGGGGGCGTACCTCCAAGGATACAGATTTTGAGTTGATACAGATTCTCATTTTAATTTCATTTCTATATAAAATGGACCTTGTCTACATAATTGTGTATTTAGTGAATCATTCAGGTTAGATCTTTTGATTCAAAGTTAGATCTTTTATATTACAAGATTGGAGGCTTGGACCCTGAGGGGCTGCCTGGAGAAATTACTGAAGGCAGAGGTCAGCAAACTTCACCGTGCAGCAAAGCCAGCCTGCCACCTGTGTGTGTGTGTGTGTTTTTTTTTTAAGGTTTATTGAAACACAGCCATGCTTATTTACTTACTTATTTCATCCTGTAACAACGATTGAGTAGTTGTGACAGAGACTGTGCATGTGGCCACAAACCCGAAAACAGTTCCTGTCTGCTCAGTTATGGAAAAACATGCCTACTGCTGGCCAAGGGAATGAGTGGGGCAGCCGAGGCCCCGGAGACTGGAGACTGCTCTAGCCAAAGGCTGACGGCCGGTCAAGGCGAGCCTCGACCACACGGAAGCGGAAAGCTGCCGCCCCAGCGTCTTTTGTTTATTCCATATAACACAGAAGAATGTGCTGCACTGGAGACTGGGGAGCTGACGGCATCTTTGACTGCCTATGGCAGGGTATTTCCTCAACTCACAGGAGCAGCTCAGAGTCAGGCGCTGACGAGGGGTGCTGGATGGGGTGTGGGTCCTGTCCTCCAGTCTTTCTCATTGGCTGGCTGCGGTTGCTGACCAGTGCAGTTTTTGCTGGTAAGATATATAAGTGTTGCCTGGGCTTTTCAGCATCCCAGCTCATTAATTCATTTGTTTGTTTGTTTTTGAAGGTGGGGTTTCACCATGTGGGTCAGGCTGGTCTCAAACTCCCGACCTCAAGTGATCTGCCCACCTCGGCTTCCCAAAGTGCTGGGATTACAGGTGTGAGCCACCATGCCCGGCCCTCCATTTAATTTGTTTAGGCATTTATTCAGCAGAGATTGACTGCATGCCTTCTTTCTCTCTCTTTTTTTTTTTGGAGATGGAGTCTCGTGCTGTCTCCCAGGCTGGAGTGTAGTGGTGCAGTCTTGGCACACTGCAACCTCTTCCTCCTGGGTTCAAGTGATTTTCCTACCTAAACCTTTTGAGTAGTTGGGATTACAGGTGCCCACCACCACACCTGGCTAATTTTTGTATTTTTAGTAGAGATGGAGTTTCACCATGTTGGCCAAGTTGATCTTGAACTTCTGACCTCAGGTGATTTGTCTGCCTAGCCTCCCAAAGTGGTGGGATTACAGGCATGAGTCATCGTGCCCAGCCTGACTTGGTGTCTTCTATCTATGAGGCATGGTGCTAAGTATTTTTCAGCTGTGCACAAAACCAGCAAAGCATGCCTGCCCTGGTGAAGCTTATGTTTTCTTGGGGGAGCAACAGCAAGCATAAATAAGAAAATAGGACTGTATTAGGCAGTAGTAAATGCTACAGAGGCATACCAAGGCACTCGCTTTGTAGCATTGGCTGCTTTCAGAGGGCGATTGCAGCTAACCAACCGTAGCTCCCTGTGACTCCTCACATTTAATCAGGATAGATTTAATATCAGAGGTTCTAAGTCAACATGCTTGCGGATAATTAACGTGGTTAACTAAGAGTGGTTTTTACGAATGATAAAAGCTTTAGGGAAGATGCTGTGTTTGGGGTGGGGGTGTCGTGTCAGGTAAGATCTATCAAGGACACCTTTTCTGCCAAGGTGATTTTTTGAGCAAGGACCTAAAAGAGGCAGAGGTTTGCTCTCCAGGTTCTGGGGGACAGGCTTACTGCTTAGAGATGAGATGAACCGAGTTTGCTGGCAGTGCAGTGAGGAGGCCCCTGTGACTGTAGCAGCCAAACAAAGGGAGAGGGAACTGGGGACAAGCTCTTATCACAATTCCAGGTCATTTTAGGAACTTTCGGCTCCACTCCGAGTAGATGGGGAGCCAGGGATGGGTGTCCGGCCAAAGAACAATGTGATCTGACTTAGGTGCTACTGTGTCCCTCTAGCCACTCTGCCGGAAACAATCACAGTTATTCCAGGACTAGGCTGGTAGCAGCAGAGACAGAAGGAACAGATCAGATTTTTGTTATATATTTACAAGGTAGAACCAATATAATTTACCACTGAGTCAGACGCAGGGTGCGAGAGAAAGACAGGCGTCAAGGGCACTCCAGGGCTTTTGGCCACTGGATGGTGGCAGTGCTCTCAGCTGAGGTGGGCAGAGTTGTAGACAAAGCCGACTTGGAGGACCCATGGAGCTCCACATTACAGGTGGCATTGGGAATTTCTTTTTTTTTTGGGGGGGGGAGGAAGGCAGGAAGGAAGGGAAGAAGGACGGTAGGGAGGAAGGAAGGGATGAAGGAAGGAAGGGAGGGAGGAAGTGGGGAGGGAGGGAGGGAGGGAAGAGAAGAAAGGAAATCAAGCAATGAAAGAGACATTGCCGACCTGGATCTAGAGGTTTACAAGTTGATTTCTTTTTTTTTGAGAGAAGGAAAGAAAAAAAAATAATAAGTAAAGGAGAGGAAGAGAAAGAGGGAGAGTAAATGGAAATATTGCTTTATTTTGAAAAAAATTGGGTATTAATAATGGCCAATCAATGTTTCATTTAAACTAATGGGTAGGTGTGATGTGGTATTGACAAGAATGTATATTTTGTGTATTTGAAGTGGGGAGCTCTATAAGTATTTATTAAGTTTACTTGTTCTGGATCTGAGTTCGAGTTCTTGATATCCTTATTAATTTTCTGTCTCATTGAATCTAAGTCTCCTATCTGGGTGTTAGGATCGTTAGCTCTTGTTGTTGCATTGATCCTTTTACCACTATATCTTTGTTGCTTTAAAATCTATTTTATCCGATATGAGAATTGCAACTCCTGCTTTTTATTTATTTATTATTTATTTTTGCTCTCCATTTGGTTGGTAAATCTTTCTCCATCCCTTTGTTTTGAGTCTTTGTGTATCCTTGCATGTGAAACAGGTCTGGATGTAACATGCCGTTGGGTTTTGGCTGTGTCTTTTGATTGGGAATTTAGTCAATTTAAATTTAGGGTTACTGCCATTTGATGTTGACTGGCTGTTTTATCCATTTGTTGGTGTAAATTCTTCTTTATGTTGGTGCTCTTTACTTTTTGGTGTATTTTTAGAAAGGCTAATACTGGTTGTTTCTTTCTGTGTGTAATGCTTCTTTCAGAAGCTCTTGTAAAGCAGGCCTGGTGGTAATAAAATCTCTGAGCTCTTGCTTGTTCATAAAAGATTTTATTTTTCCTTCAGTTGTGAAGCTTAGTTTGGCTGGATATGAAATTCTGGGCTGAAGGTTCTGTTCTTTGAGGATGTTGAATATTGGCCCCCACTCTCTTCTGGCCTGTAGAGTTTCTGCCGAGAGATCTGCTGTAAGTCTGATAGGCTTGCCTTTGTGGGTTATCTGACCTTTCTCTCTGGCTGCCCTTAGTATCCTCTCCTTCGTTTCAACCCTGGTGAATCTAACGATTATGTGCCTTGGGGTTGCTCTTCTTGAGGAATATCTTTGTGGTGTTCTCTGTATTACCTGGGGTTGAATGTTGACCTGCTTTGCTAGTTTAGGAAAATTTTCCTGAATAATATCCTGAAGGGTATTTTCCAGCTTGGATTCATTCTCTCCGTCGCATTCAGGTACACCTATCAAACGTAAATTTGGTCTTTTCACATAGTCCCACATTTCTTGGAGACTTTGCTCATTCCTTTTTATCCTTTTTTCTCTAATCTTGTCTTCTTGTTTTCTTTCGTTAAGTTGGACTTTGACCTCTGATATCCCTTCTTCTGCTTGAACAATTCGAGTGTTTAAACCTGTGCATACTTCTCGGAGTTCCTGTATTGTATTCTTCAGTTCCATTAATTCACTCATACTCTGCTCTAAGTTGTCTATTCTCAATAGGATTTCATCAAACCTTTTTTCAAAGTTCCTAGTTTCTTTACGTTGGGCTACAACATGGTCTTTTAACTCACCGAAGTTTGTTATTATCCATTCCTTGAAGAGTGATTCTGTCATCAGGAGGCGCTCGTTCTCCATCAAGCCTTGTTCCATTGTCGATGTGGAACTGTGGTCATCTTTAGAGGGAGAGGCGTTCTGACTTTGAGTATTCTCAGCTTTTTTACGCTGGTTTCTTCCCGTCATTGTAAATTTATCCTCCTGTCTCTTTGAAATTACCAACTTTCAGATTAGGTCTCTTGAGTGGACGTCCAGGTTGTTAGTTCCCAGGGCCAGAGCAGCGGCGTTAAGACTGATGGTGCTTTTCTGCCCAGGATTCTCCTGTCAGGCTTCCTTCTTGTTTCCGTAGTAGGCGACTCTGCCTTCCTGGGGCTCCAAACCTCGGTCAGAAGGGGAACCGGTCCTGTTTACTCTGCACCGAGGTGCTGGAGGAACCGCTACGCCGACCACGAGAGTCGCGCTGGCGACTCGTGTGTTTCCACCACTGGGGGAGCTTCTGCTCCGTGAGAGACCAGACTTTGTCTGAAAGTGTGGCGTCCTCTAGTTCTCCGCGCCTTCCCTGAGAGCTGCAATCCCGGGATGTTAGCGATCGGCCATCTTGGATCCTTCCCCCGGGAATTTCTTTTATGTCCAAACATAGGTGTCAAGTGGGCAGTAAAGTACAGGAGTCCAAGGAAGGGCAGAGGTCAGGCTGGAGGCAAATTCGGTATGATCCTGTGTTTAAAGCCATGAGACTGACTGAGACCAATGAGAGGAAAGACGCCTTGGGCTTGGGACCCAGGCACCCAGTTTCTGGAGGTTGCGGCAATGAAGATGGCAGAGAAGGCACTGCCGGATATTCTGGAAGCCGGGCAGAAACGTGAGCTGCATCTCTCCCTGCAGAGAGTGGCCGGCTCTGATGAATTTGTGCCATGTGTCAGTGGGTCTCATTTCAACTTCACGTTTATCTGTTTTATTTGTAGAATGAAAAGAAACCTGTGCAAATGATGTTTAAGAAATCTACTTTCAAGAAGACCTATATAGGAGAAATTTTTACCCAGATCCTGGTGCTTCCCTATGTTGGCCAGGAGCTGAATATGATCATCATGCTTCCGGACGAGACCACCGACTTGAGAACGGTAACCACTGAGCGGAGAGTGAGGTGTGCTCGCGAGGGAATCACTCGGGGCTGTCTGCTGTGGCTGTGTTCTAACACAGACCCCTGCGGACCGTGGCCCGGCTGCTGCCGGCGTCCAGCATCACAGCATCGCATGGGGCCCTGCTGGGCAGCAGCACCCTAGGTCTTAAAGTCTTCCACTGTCTCCCTCTAGGTGGAGAAAGAAATCACTTACGAGAAGTTCATAGAATGGACGAGGCTGGACATGATGGATGAGGAGGAGGTGGAAGTGTTTCTCCCACGGTTTAAACTGGAGGAAAGCTACGACATGGAGAGTGTCCTGCGCAACCTGGGCATGACCGATGCCTTCGAGGTGGGCAAGGCAGACTTCTCCGGAATGTCCAAGACAGACCTGTTTCTGTCCAAGGTCGTGCACAAATCCTTTGTGGAGGTCAACGAGGAAGGCACAGAGGCCGCAGCTGCCACAGCTGCCATCATAATGCTGCGGTGTGCCAGATTCACCCCCCGCTTCTGTGCCGACCACCCCTTCCTTTTCTTCATCCAGCACAGCAAGACCAATGGGATTCTCTTCTGCGGCCGCTTTTCTTCCCCGTAAGGACAGGGTGGTCTTTGTGCGCAGCCCCTCTCCTCTCTGTCCTCTGACACTCCACAGTGTGCCTGCCACCCAAGTGGCCTTATCCGTGTGGTGGTGGCACTTCAGAAATAAAGGGAACAATTGTGGGATGCCACATTCACTGTGTGTTTGTATGTCTGCATGGAAGATGGTTCCTAGGATCTGAAATTGCTGCTGTCTGTGGGTCTGGGTTATGGTAGGAGGGGCTGCGATGACCACTTAGTCACCCCGGCTCGGGGGAGATGTTGCCCACCCCCCACAGCCATGGGGACCCCACGACTTCACTGCGTGTAGACAGCTGTCCTCGCTTGATGGTGTGACTCTTCCTGGGCACAAGGAGATAAATGGTGCTTCTCTGTCTCCTCTACTCAGTAGCAGAGTCTCATCCCACTTCTCGGGAGAGAAGGGAGTGTTGTGAGGTGCTACAAGGAGGTGCAGGGAGCTCAGTTCCAAAACTGCCACCAGCTCCCTGGAAGCCTGCACGGAGAGGGGGAGCAGGTGAACCAGACGAAGGTGACAGTAGTCTCCTGCCCCATGGGTGTTTCTGCTTCCCTGGGGACTGGTTGATCACATACCCATTCACATACATACTGCCCACTTCTGAAAATGTCAAATGATATTAGTGTTCCATTTATAGCAACAGAGTTTACAGAGACTTCGACTTCATGAGTCAGCACCAGGTGCCTTTCTGTTTCACTCAAGTGTTACAGAAAAGACAGCTACAATTTCTGGGGCCATTTGTGTTGATTGCTGGTAATGTGATCCCCGCACACAGCCATGCAGGAGCAGATGGATGGGTTAGGCTCAAATGCAGGAGCCACGCAGCGTTCCAGGGAGCCAGGAAGGGCTTCTTTTTCAGACAGTGGAGCCTGATCCCCCTCCTTGACCTGGTACAAATGTGCCCTCACTCTTCCTGCTCCTCTTTCCCTTAGTGTCCAGGCTGGGGTGACAGATAGGAGTCGTAGCAGGGATGAGTGGGAGAGCAGGGGCAAGAAGGGCTGGGTCGTGCTGGTTTTGTCCCTCATACCCCATCCTCTGCACAGCATTTTTTTTTTTTTTTTTTGGAGACAGAGTATCTCTGTGTCATCCAGGCTGCGCAGTGGTGTGATCTCGGCTCACTGCAACCTCCATCTCCTGGGTTCAAACAATTCTTCTACCTCAGCCTCCCAACTAGCTGTGACTACAGGCACCCACTACTACTCCTGGCTAATTTCTGCATTTTTAGTAGAGACGGGGTTTTGCTATGTTGGCCAGGCTGCTCTTGATCTCCTGAGCTTGTGATCCTCCCACCTGGGCCTCCCAGAGTGCTTGGATTACAGGTGTGAGCCACTGTGGCCAGCCCGTTCTTGGTATTTTTTAAAGACTGGGGACAAGAGGACTTGGAACAAGGGCTCCGAGGGTGGGGCAGGATCCAGTTATATGATGCTTCGAGCACCACAGAGAGGGCCTCTGCACTGCAGCTGGCAGCCACCGCCCTGTGTCCGGTTCCTGGGGAGAGGCACCTGCTCCACATCCTTGCTTGGGGTCTGCTTAGAGGCTGGGATGCGGACAGGGAGTGGGGTAATTGGAATTGTCTAACCGTCCAGGTTTCATGGTATCAATCCCTTTCCCCAGGGTAAGGGCTGTATCAATAGTGTGGAAAGATGAACATTCAGGGTCCCATGTGTTACTGACCCGCGGCGGCGGGTGGGGCTGGCCGGGGACTGAACCCCGGCTGAGCTGAGCACCAGCCCCTTTGTGTCCTCCGCCCCCTCTTCCCCACTTCCTGCCCAGCTCGGGATCAGCTGCGAGGCGCAGACTGCGCGTAAACCAGTAGCCCTTGCAGGAGTGGAGACAGGCTCTGCTCGGACGCCAGTCTCCTCCTCGCAGCGGGTGGTTGTGACAACCCCACTCCCCAAAGGCAGGCGCCAGAGGCGGCGGGAGAGAGCGTCTGCGGCCCCTATCGGTGCTCCGGAGAGCTCACCTGCGCCGAGGAGGTAGGCTTGGGGGCTGGAGAAACCCCGGTAGGTGGGATGTCAGCTCAGGCTGGAGATCACGCGTTGGGTATCGGAGCTGGTTGGGTAATGGGTTCGCCGCGTCCTGATCCCCTCCCAGTTGACACCCAAAGTTTGGCTCACTTTCCCACAGAGTGAGGTGTTCTGCACGGAGTTGGAAGTCAGGGAAACTCCCAAAGGCCGCACAGCCCCCTGCAGCTGATCTGGAAGACCCGTGACTTTACCCGGCTGTTGCTCTTCTCATACCTCAAAGATTGGGTGGGACGCCAGTAGGAGGGCAGACCAGTGTGGAAGGGGAAGTCTGTGGGTGCTGTGGACAGTGCACCGGGATGAGACTGGAGGGAAGGACTCCTCCGTGGTGTCTGATTGGTACATAGGTGATGGTCTTAGCCTCCTCTGTTTCTTGAAGTGTCAACAATTGGAATCACTGAAGAAACTGGTCGCTGTGACTAAGGGAGCCTTAAGCTACTAATTAGCGTTGATTGAACACCTACTATGTGCCTGGCATTATATGGGATGCTGAGGATACAATGAGATTATTGATTCACAGCTAATGTGGATCACAGAACCATAGATGTAAGGTGCCAAGTACACAGGCTGGGGAGGCTTTAGAGAGAAAAGGACTTTTGAGTTGGATTCAGAAGGATGAAAAGCATGGAAGTCTTTGGGGGCACTTATTCCACAGAGCCGGCCTGAACCCGAGCTGTGGTGTTGGACATTTGGATAAAGTGGCGACCCAGAAACAATTCCTGCTCTCTTTAATCCACTGTCTAAGCATGAAGGGAATGAACAGGATGAATTCCAGAAAAGACAATTTTCTGGGCTAGGTCCCAAGAACCCAGGAATTCCCTTCTGGGTGCAGCTGGCAGGGGGTCTGCCTGGGGGTGACGTGACAGTCCACACAATCCTGGGTACCTCCTCCCCATCCCTGGACTCTGAGACTATTTCCTCTGACAAGTCCTTGCCCTCTGCCCACCAGCTCATTTCTCTTTGGGACCAGACATGGTTGGAGAAGTGGCTCTCCCTTTCCTTCCTCACAGATTCTTCTGTCCGTTCAATTCCGGGCTCCTTTGGGAAATGACCGACACACCAACTTGTGAATTCATTCAGCACCTATTTGCTGTGGCCATGCTCCGTCTGCACAGGCTATTCCCACAGCTGTTGGGGATGTCATGGTAAACAAATCAGAGTTTCTTCCCCCTGGAACTTAAAACAGAAAGCGTCTCTGATAATTCCATCAGAGTTCTAGTCTATGCCAGTCCTAGTCTATGCCCTGCTGACTCACTCTCAGGGTGTGGGGTGCCCGTGGCTGCCAGTGGTTTTCTCCCTCACTTACCAGCCACTCTGGCTGCCCCATCTTCGTCCCCATTTAAGGTACCCAGCAGGACTTAGATGCTGGGCTTAGATCCTAACACTAGGCAGCGGTGGGACTTTGGGCATATGACCTAATCCTCAGCGTGCCTCAGTTTCCTCTTCTGTAAAACTGGGGGAAAGATGTAGGCCGGGCGTGGTGGCTCACGCCTATAATCCCAGCACTTTGGGAGGCCGAGGCGGGTGGATCACGAGGTCATGAGATTGAGACCATCCTGGTCAATGAGGTGAAACCCCGTCTCTACTAAAAATACAAAAATTAGCTGGGCATGGTGGTGCACGCCTGTAGTCCCAGCTACTTGGGAGGCTGAGGCAGGAGAATTGCTTGAACCCAGAAGGCGGAGGTTGTGGTGAGCCGAGATCGTGCCATTGCACTTCAGTCTGGGTAACAACAGCAAAACTCCATCTCAAAAAGAAAAAGAAAAAAGGTGAGATGATACACAGAAATGGCATGTTACAGTGCCTGATGTGTAGTTAAGAGTCAAGAAATCAGCCAGGCGGGGTGGCTCACGCCTGTAATCCCAGCACTCTGGGAAGCCAACGTGGGTGGATCACCTGATGTCGGGAGTTCAAGACCAGCCTGGCCAAAGCCTGGCCAACATGGTAAAACCCCGTCTCTACTAAAAATACAAAAAATAGCGGGGGTGGTAGCAGGCACCTGTAATCCCAGCTACTTGGGAGGCTGAAGCAGAAGAATGGCTTTAATCCAGGAGGCAGAGGTTGCAGTGAGCAAGATCACTCCTCCTGGGAGGAACCTTGAACCTCCTGAGGTAGGAGAATCACTTGAACCTCCTCTTCCCAGGTTCAGGTGATTCTCCTACCTCAGCCTCCCAAGTAGCTGGGACTACAGGCGCCTACCACCACACCCGGCTAATTTTTGTATTTTCAGTAGAGGCAGAGTTTTACCATGTTGGCCAGGCTGGTCTCGAACTCCTGACCTCAAGTGATTCCCCCCCCTCACCCCGCCGACCTCAGCCTTCCAAAATGCTGGGATTACAGGAGTGAGCCACCACGCCTGACTAGGAGGCTTTATTCTTAACCATTAAGTTAACCTGCCTCATTGACTGATTGCATAAAAGGTACACTTGAGCCAGAAACTTAGGACTTTCCTAAAGGGAGTGTGTGGTCCTGTATCCTGGATGATACAGCTATCTGTTAGCTGAGCTTTGATGCTGGTACTGTTTGCAGTGAGCCCAGCAGGCCTGGAACAGGGTTGTGGGAACTGCACAGAGCTGGTATCCCTTCCTGATGGCTGTGTGTGTGTGTGTATGTGTGTGTGTGCGTGTGTATGTGTGTGCGTGTATGTGTGTGCGTGTGTGTGTGTATGTGTGTGTATGTGTGTGTATGTGTGTGTATGTGCATGTGTGTGTGTATGTGTGTGTGTATGTGTGTGTGTATGTGTGTGTGTGTGTGTGCACGCGCGCGCATATTTTCCCCTGTGTAAGCGTCACTCAGAGGGAAAGGGGGAGTGAATAAACCAGGAGGAATGAACTAAGAGTATATTCAAGAAAGAGCTTCTCAACATGGATGCGATGTGCCAGAATCTGTGGATATGGGAAACCACCACACCTCTTTTGTTGGGAATGAAGAATAGCAGAGACGCTCACATTCTAGACGTGCATTCCAGCTTGGCGGCTGAGTAAGGAAGATGGCCAAAGAGTGGGTGCAAGCTTAAGATGCTCCCACCTCTCTTTCCCACAGCTCCTGCTTCCAAAGCTGCATCCGTGTATACTGCCCCGTCCCTCCAGACACGCTG